CAGCCAAGGGGGGCTGGTCCTTCCCGTACACAGGCCGCATGTGTGCATTTGCCGTTGCTCTGGAGTGCGAAAAAACAAATATCGAACGTTCGAAATGATGCCGATACGCTACTCTTGTGAGGCATAGAAAGATCTAGTCACGTTGAATGCATGGCAATACATACTGTATGTGTTTTCATTCCGATGTCTACTTTCTGATTATATGTATGTACATATATATAAATATATATATATATGTATATATATACATATATATATATATATGTTATTGTGTGTTTCTACAAACTTTGAAGATCCTTCGGCATCGCAAACTGCGTTGGTGCGGGCCCCATACCATTGGACCTGTAACTACGAGGGGCCCGCACTGCCCGCTCCCAGTGAGGAGGCCACTGCAGACCCTCCGCAGCAGGAGCCCACTCAGTGGAGTCGACCGGGGGGGAGGCTGGCTCCCGTACTTCCTTGGCACGAGATTTCGGGTGGTCCTCATGCGCCGCCTTTGGGGACAGGTCACTGCGGACCTCCCGCGAATCGAGCTTCTCAATTGGAGCCTCGCTGCGCCCTTCTTTCCCTCCCCCAGGGAGCGGGGCGGATGCTGGTGCCTAATTTGGGGGGCCTGCTATCAGTGGAGGTGTCCACTGGCCGCCTCGGGACGGGCCGGTGCGGACGTCTCAGAATAGGACTCTGCAAGCACGGGTGTTCCGTGCGGGCCGTCCCCGAGGGGAGGCCGGTGCGGGACCCTTGCAATTGGTGCCCACCAAGTCGAACTTCCCCGGGGAGGTCAGCACTTACTGCTCAGGAGTCCATGCGGATTTTCCTGCGATGGCAAGTTCAATCACGGGAGGTCCACACTGACCTCTCCTTAGGAGCGGTCGATGCGGACCGTCCGCCATTGCAAGTGCAAGTGTTGGAGGTCCGCATTGACCACTCCTTCAGAGCGGCCGGTCCAATTGCGCGAGATCCACATTGACCGCTCTTCAGGAGGGGGCAGTGCAGACAGTGCTCGAATGAGTTAATTGCAGGAGCCATGATTCGGCGCTCCAGCAGGGCTCTCCCCAGTCCTTTTTCTCCCCCTTGTGTTCTCGGCTTCCTCGCTTCGCCGGTGCTTGAGGCTGCGCTGGACACAGGGGCCCAAGGTCTGGCCCAGCTCAGCCCACCTCGACTCACCCGTAGCCTTCAGTCGGGCCTGCCCCTCTACAGGAGGAATATTCCACAATAGCGATAAAAATTAGTCTGGGGATGATTTTTTGACTATCTTTGACCACACTGGAGTATTTGTTTATTCCCTACCTAGGCTCTGCCTAGAAGGGTTCTTACTCGCTAGCTTAAAGGGGCCGGGCAGTGCAAATCGCCCCGGGTGGTTCCCCCGGTCCCCTGGGAGCGGTTCCCCCAGTCCCCTGGGAGCTTTAGCTTTAGCTTTAGCTTCGCTTTAGCTTAGCTTTAGCTTAGCTTTAGCTGTAGCTTAGCCTTAGCTTAGCCTTAGCTTAGCTTTAGCTTAGCCTTAGCTTAGCTTTAGCTTAGCTTTAGCTTTAGCTTAGCTTTAGCTCAGCTTTAGCTTAGCTTCAGCTTAGTGTTACTACTACTAATGCTGCTTTCCTAGGGGCTCCAACTCCTAGGTAGGGTCGCACTGGGATAACGATCTTTCATTTTCTGTCCAAAACAATCCGTCCCCAGACCCCCGACGTAATGATTTTTTCATTACGTCGACCCCCAAAGATCTGGACCCTTTCCCCATGACCGGCTTGCATCCTGAGTCGTCTTTTGACGCTCCCGAGGCCCGGTGAGGGCCCCCGGAGGCCGAAAATTAGGAAAAATATCCTGTCATGATTTTTTCATTACTCGAGGGGGTCTGGGTCTGTAGGGGGAGAGGCCCGAGCTGACCGCAGCCGTCTGGGTTGGCAGGGCGCGCCCCGCGCTCCCGGGGGCGTGCCTCTCTGCGAGCCGGCCTGCGGCCGGCGCGGAGCCCTCCCGCGGGCGCCGGGAGCGCTCGCGGCGCGCGGACCCCCGGAGCGCCGACGAGGTGACCGTGTCAGTGCCTGGCGTCTTTTTGCTCGAGTTCGGCCTCCCGAAAAATTTGCGTCTTTTGCTAAGTTTCTGGTGTCGTTGTCTCACTTCCTGGCTTCCTGGTGTCTCGTTCTCAACCCCTGGTGTCTCCTTCTCAATCCTTCTCAATGCTGGCGTCTTTTGCTCGAGTTCGGCTTCCCGAAAAATTGGCGTCTTTTGCTCAATGTCTGGCGTCGTTGTCTCCATTTCTGGCGTCCCGGTGTCTCCGTCTCAACCCCTGGCGCCTTCTGCTCGACTTCGGCTTCCCCGGGATCCTCTGTCTGGACCTGGGGTCAGGGAGCCAGAGACGGGGTACAGGAACAGCAGACGGGGTGACAGGAGACGGCCGGTTCGAGGCAGCAAACGGCCTTTTTGTTGCGGTGCAGTTTTTTGTTGATTTCGCGTTCGATGCAGGAGCTTCCACATGCTGGCTGCGTTGCACATTTTCGGCTGCTGGACTGCAACTGCTTGTTTTGGGCCTTCTGTTGCCCGGTCTGTGGGGCTTGTTCGCAGTTTTTCCGCAAGTAGTTGCCAACAGATTGCAGTGCAGTTACCTAACAGCGTTTGCTGATAGGTTTCTAGTAGGGTCAAAAGAGAGCAGCAGATGACTCCACAGGGGGGTCTGGGCGGGTGCCGGACAGGGTGCCGCAGAAGTCGTTTTAAGCCAACAGTCACACACTTCGTGCTCTTCGACCTCCCAGAACTCCATTCCCGGGCCACATTCTGAATGCCCGGAGCCAACTGTAGGCCACTTCGTGCTCTTCGACTTCCCAGAACTCCATTCCCGGGCCACATTTTGAATGCCCGGAGCCAACTGTAGGCCACTTCGTGCTCTTCGAGTTCCCAGAACTCCATTCCCGGGCCACATTTTGATGCCCGGAGCCAACTGTAGGCCACTTCGTGGTCTTCGAGTTCCCAGAACTCCATTCCTGGGCCACATTTTGAATGCCCGGAGCCAACTGTAGGCCACTTCGTGTTCTTCGAGTTCCCAGAACTCCATTCCCGGGCCACATTTGAATTGCTGAGGCAGGCTGAGGCTGAGGCTGAGGCAGGCTGATGCTGAGGCAGGCTGAGGCTGAGGCTGAGGCTGATGCAGCTGAGGCAGCTGAGGCTGAGGCCGAGGCTGAAGGCAGACTGAGGCTGAGGCTGAAGCAGGCTGAGGCTGAGGCTGAGGCAGGCTGAGGCTGAGGCAGGCTGAGGCTGAGGCTGAGGCAGGCTGAGGCTGAGGCTGTGTCTGTGACTGCCGTTGCCACTGCGACTGTCATCGCGAATGCGACTACGACTGCGAGAACAGCACAATTCTACAACTGGATTCTCATCTGAATCTTAAGGGGAATGCTTCCAGATATGCTCCTACACATCGCTGTTAGGTTGCTTTGCCGGGATAATTTTTACCTAACAGCGAAGACTGATAGGTTTCTAGTGGGGTCAAAAGAGAGCATCATGACTCCTCAGGGGGGTCTGGGCGGGACCCGGGGCGGCTGCCGCGAAGCGAAGTCCTTGACATCTCGCAAAATCGCTTGGGAAATCCATTCCTGGCAAGATTTTGAATGCCCGGAGCCAACTGTAGGCACTTCGTGCTCTTCGACTTCCCAGAACTCCATTCCCGGGCCACATTTTGAATGCCCGGAGCCAACTGTAGGCCACTTCGTGCTCTTCGAGTTCCCAGAATCCATTCCCGGGCCACATTTTGGATGCCCGGAGCCAACTGTAGGCCACTTCGTGGTCTTCGAGTTCCCAGAACTCCATTCCTGGGCATGATTTTGAATGCCCGGAGCCAACTGTAGGCCACTTCGTGTTCTTCGAGTTCCCAGAACTCCATTCCCGGGCCACATCTTGAATGCTGAGGCAGGCTGATGCTGAGGCTGAGGCAGGCTGAGGCTGAGGCAGGCTGAGGCTGAGGCCGAGGCTGAAGGCAGACTGAAGCTGAGGCTGAAGCAGACTGAGGCTGAGGCTGAGGCAGGCTGAGGCTGAGGCTGAGGCAGGCTGATGCTGAGGCAGGCTGAGGCTGAGGCTGATGCAGGCTGAGGCTGAGGCAGCCTGAGGCTGACGCCGAGGCTGAAGGCAGACTGAGGCTGAGGCTGAAGCTGGCTGAGGCTGAGGCTGAGGCAGGCTGAGGCTGAGGCAGGCTGAGGCTGAGCCTGAGGCAGGCTGAGGCAGAGGCTGTGACTGTGACTGCCGTTGCCACTGCGACTGTCATCGCGAATGCGACTACGACTGCGAGAACAGCAGAATTCTACAACTGGATTCTCATCTGAATCGTAAGGGGAATGCTTCCAGATATGCTCCTACACATCGCTGTTAGGTTGCTTTGCCGGGATAATTTTTTGCGTAGTGCATTTGTTCGTTCTGGTCGTTGCAGTTTTTCCACCTGGATCCCATGGTGGCTCTGTTACCCCGTTCAGGCGTTACCCGGTTTGGTACTCCCTGACGGGGCAACAAAAACTAGCTTTTGCGGCGGAAAAGTCACGTTACCACCGGGGAAGGGGTCGGGCGCTCCCGGGGCCGCGCGTCGAAAGCACCACATCGGCGGACGTCCGGGACCCTCCGTGCACCCCCGCGCGGCCGCGATGCTGGGGGCCCGCGCGCAGGTCGTCGCGGCGCCCGGCGCTGCCGGCCAGCCGCCGCGCGCCGCCGCGCCACCCGCGCCGTCCGCGGGCTGGGCGCCGCCGACCGCCCGCGGGGCAGGCGCCGCCGCCGCCGCGCTTGGACCCCGCGGTCCGCGCGGCCCCCCCCCCCCCGGCGCACGGCGCGGCCGGCGCGGCGGGCGCGCGGCCGCGCCCGCGGCCGCGCCCCGCCCCGGCGTGCGCCGCCCGCCCGCGGCGGCCCGCCGCGCCGTTCGGGGGCGGCTTGGCCACGGCACCGCGGCCCCGGCGCGGCCGCGCGCGGGGGGGCGGCCGCGGCGGCGGCGCGCGCGGCGCGCTCCAGGGCGCGGCGTTGGGGCGCGCCGCGCGCGGGCGCGGGGGCGGCCCAGGCGGCGGCCCAGGCCGCGAGGGTCGCGGGGGCGGGCGGCTGGCTCGGGCGCGGCGTCGGCGGCCGCGCCTGCAGCTTCGCGCTGAAGGCGGACCACGACGAGGTCACCTTCCGGCCGGGGCTGCTCATCCCTCAGCCCATTCGCTACACCACGCGGGACTGGCCGGACACCATCCTCTCCTGGCCCAGGTCCCCGCTGCTGCGGAGGGTCTTCTGGCCGGTGAGCTGCTTCACCCTGTGGTCGGTGGCGATCACGGGGCTCTCGAAGGTTGTGGCGTTCCCCTCGCTGACGCTCACCATGCACTCGCTCGTAGGGACGGCGCTGGGCCTGCTTCTGGTCTTCCGGACCAACACGGCCAATGACCGCTACTGGGAGGGGCGGCGGATGTGGGAGACTGTCGTGTCCACCTCGCGGGACATCGCGGCCTTGTGCTGCTCGTTCCACGCGCACCTGGGGCCAGCCCAGCTGCAGAGAGTGTGCAGGCTGTTGTCGGCCTTCCCGATCTGCCTGGCCATGTACATCAGTGGGCCTGGCATGAAGAGCGGGTCCAGGTCTGCCAGGCACATGCTGCCGCTCGCCCGAGTGTTGGACTCCGAGGATCGGGCGCTGCTGGCAGCCTCGTGCAGCCCACCAAGCAGAGTGGTGCAGATGTTGTTGAGGGAGACAACTCGGATCCCAGACTCCGCAGATGGTTTTTTCACGAACCGGGAGAGGTCCAGTCTGCAGGCGCTGTCGTCCAAGTTGCTTGGTACGGTCGGAGTTTGTGAGCGCTTGGTGCAAACGCCCATCCCACAGAGCTACGTCAGGCACACCAGCCGCTTCCTGTCACTTTGGCTGCTTACGTTGCCACTGGGTCTCTGCCACAATCTCGAATGGTGGACGCCCCTGGTGGTGTGGATCATCTCGTGGTCCCTGTGCGGGATCCAGGAGCTCGGGCAGGTGATAGAGCACCCGTTTGACGGGGCGCAGTCCCTGCGGCTCGCGGTCATGGCGAACACTGTGCACGCCTCCAACACGGACGCTCTCACCATGGTGGCCTCGCAGAGCGAGCCCCCGGAGGGCCTGCTGCGCCGCGCCATGCGCCTCGAGCTGGGCAGTGGCTTCAGGCCAGTTGCCGACTCCCCCGACCTGCGCATGGTCGACGCCGTGCTCGGGCGTGACCCGCCGCCGGCCTCGGAACCGGCCCGGCTCGTGCTGCGGCCGCAGCCGAGGCTTCGGCCGCGGCTCGGGCTGCGGCGATCGGGCTGTGGCTCGGGCTGCGGCTCGGGCTGCGGCTCGGGCCGCCCATAGATCTCTCCCGGGGCGCGCCCCGACGGGAATTTCGAAGCGTCTCCAGCGGTGGCAACGAGGGCCTCCCAAGGAGGCCCCAGAGAGGCGAAAGTATCCCCCCCCCTCCTGCTGGTCCACAGAGTGCACCTGCTCATGCACCACACCATGCCATGCCAGGGCCATCTCGGGCCCCAGGATGGTGTGTGGCCCGACCTGGCACGAGGCCAGGAGGGCGTATGCACCATGCCGGGGCCCAGGACGCACCTAACCAGGCACAGTGGTGGTGTACAGAATTCTTCTGCGTATTCTCCGAGAGGTACCGTTTTGCACCACTCGGCGTACGTCGGCGACCTCTCCAGCGTCCAGAAATTGGTCGAGGCCGGCGCGGAGCTGAGCGCGCGGGACACGTGGGACGGGTCCACGCCGCTGGACGTGGCGCGGGGGCGCAACCACGTCGAGGTGGCACGGTG